CCATCAGGAACGTTGATCTACCAGATATAACACGTATTTGTGTTTCCCTAGCAGGGAGGTTCATAGGTCCTATAACGTCGATGTTAACTGTTCGAAAGGTAATCCTGGCCTTCTGACCGGTGTGATGGGAATCTTGTCAGATCGCTTTTCTGGCTTGTTCATAATTAACTCCTTGAGTGTTTCGAAATCCTTTACTTCTCTTGACTTGCAGTAATAGTCCCATGTAGCTGTTAGTCGTGAAGCGAACTGGATATGCGTTTCGCCGGAATAACATTTAGTTCTTCTGAAGTTTTCTAAACAGGTTTGAGGAATAGGTTGGTATTCCTTCAAAAGAAGAGTTTTCACTTTTTAGTAATTTTGCAGATCTTCCTCTTTTATATAAACAAGAACATTTGAAGCTTTTTCTCCAATTAATTTCAATAATATTTTCGATTTGTATTCTTCCAGAACCTTCTTGTGCTTAAATGCTCTTTGATAGAATCGAAAAATATCTTCCATGCTTCTGCTCTCTTCAGTACTGGTATAGTCAGTGTTTCTACTCCTTTGATCAGCTTGTCGAGGGAAATTTCGGTTTCTCGTTCTGTGTTTTAGATTGAAAGTATCATATTTCTACTTCCTTCATTTTGAGTTGCTCGAATCTTCTCTAATTCTATTTTGTGTTCTCTTTCTGTTTTTAATCTTTCTTCTTCCATTTCTTCTTTTCTTTTTCTATTCTCCACTGTAGTAATCAGAATTTCTTTTACGAAATCAGCATCTTCGATGTATTCCTTGCTATTCTAGAGTTTGTGTTTCAGTTCTGCCAGCTTCAAATCTGGGGATGCTTCTTCGCCAGTTTCCAATAGAACTGTTACTAAATCCTCTTTCTTTGCATTTTTGAACATTTCCTTCTATTTTCCTTTAGAATCAAGCTTTTTGAACTCTCGATTAAATAATTCTCATGTTTTTATTTCCTTTTGCAAATGTGCACTTCTTTTGTGAGTTAGGCTTAACTTTACTCCACTTCCGTTTTCACGCTCTGGTGATAACCTCTCTGGTGATCTCGTAAGAGAACGTGTTGTGATGGTTTAATAAGGCATCATTTAGCAAGACGTAACGAACATTTCTTAGGAAAATATCATTCAAAGCATAATAGTAACTCGGAGCAGTACGTCGCTCCTACCGCATAGTACAATCTACTGCCTTTCTCTTCCGAAGCTAACATGCAACTCTCAATAAATACATTAACCCTTCTTGGAGAAGAGCTACATGCACCAAGCACGCTCTGTTGATCGCCAAACAGTCGCCAGATATCACAGCTTGGCAATAGCATTTGTCTAGGAAACACATTTATGTTGTTGTTTCCTTTAGAAAATGTTCAGGAAAATTCTGTATTCTTGCAGTTTCTTCCTTTGCTGGCAAATTCCACAAGCTTATATTTTAAAACTAAGGCAACAATTTGTTAATGATACGAAAACTGACATTGCATGACTGAAGGATTCTTATGAGCTTAGTTGCGAAGAAAATGGTTATGTGCACAGATGCCAGAGTTTGGCAACTTCTGCTGAGGTAGTTGCATTAATATGTAAGAGTTGAAGTTTATTGCTTGCTCACAGTGTTTTCTATCAGATTAAGATTCTTTCTTACAGCCATTGTGAGTGTTGATTTGTAAATATTTTTGCTAAAAACTTTAATCTTAAGTTTGATCTGAATTATTTTGCCCCTGAAGAAGAGTGGCTTATATCAGATAATACTGAAAATTTAAATTTTCGTTCAAAACATTTGTGTAAATAGTTTTGAAATGCAATACTGTAACATATTTAGAATTTTATTCCTTGAATTTTTATATGAATTTGAATACATCTATCAAAGTAATTAAACCAGTTTAATATCAACAGAATATTTGCACTTTTACATTTTTATCTGGAAAAAGACTTGCAGGCTTTATTCTTATTATATAGAATTTTGAGATTTGGCATTCATGTTTTGGTATCCAAACTCGTATTAATTTCATTGGTATCATAAAAACTATTTTATAATATGTGTGTATTTTTAGTGTTTTTTTTTTTTTTTTTTTTTTTTTTTAAGGTTGAAATGTTTAAACGACTTCTTCTTTGTAATTAATTTTCCATAATAATTTTGTTTTCATGAAAAATATAGGAGTAAAATTGCTAACTGAATTTAATTAACTGTATATGGAAACGAAAAAAATAGCTTAAAATTTTAAATTTTCATTTAGCTCAGTGATATGTTGAATAATCAAAATGTCAGATTTCACTTTAAAATTTGAACTAAAGAGAATATTACAGGCTGTTAGAGTAAATGACAAAGAAACCAAAAACATATTTGTACAAATTGTGTTATAGTTTCTATTCATAAACTGAATAGCTTTTAAATCATCTATTACAGTGAAATTATAATATCACAAAAAATTGGAATTTTTTTCCCAGACAGTTAAGGAAGTTAAAAAAGTGCAAAATAATACTATCAAGTAATAAAAATATATTATAGACCATAAAACCAATAAACAGTCCACAAAAATATATTATAGACCATAAAACCAATAAACAGTCCACCCTTTAAAAAAAACAATAAATAATGAATTATTGTATTTTTTATTTTCTTGTAAAAATTATTTTATCTGCTTCATATTGTGTAGAGTTTCATTACCTTGTTATAAGCAGTTATTTGAAATTTTAAAATTTTCTAAACCTGTTTATGGAAAAAACTAAATGCAAATTTAGATGAGTGTATTTGGTGCTTAGCCAACCTGTTTTAAAATGTTTATTTGTAAAGTATAAAAACTGGAATGTCAGAATTTGAAAATTATTTGGATTATTTTTTGTTGTATGATTTTTACATAAATTTCACTATTTTCTTTTTTGTATTTTGGCACTGTGCATAAGTATATTTTAATATTACAGATTTCCTGATTTCACCAGTAGTTTTAATGCAACTGTGTCTACTGGCAATACACCAAGCGTCGGTGTTAGAAAAACTAGCACTTCTACTCGATTTGTAAATGGCAAGAAAATTGAAACAAAGAAGTATGTCAAAGTTGTTTCCTTAAGATATTTCATTGGTGTTATAAAACTGTTATATAGTTCGTTTTCAATTTTGAAGTGTTTGAATGACTTCTTACTACTTTTGAATTAATTTTCTATTATAATTTTATTTTCATGAAAAATGTAGGAGTGAAATTGCTAATTGAATTAACCTTATATGGAATCAAAGAAATTGTTTAAAATTTTTTTCGTCTCATTTAACTCCCATATATGTTAATAATGAATTAATGTAAAAATGCCAGCTATTAATTTAGAATTTGAATGCAATATGAAAATATAACGAGCTGTTAAAGAGAAAATGACAAAGTAACCAATAACATGTTCGCACAAATTCTATCATAGTTTTTATTCACAAACTGAATAGCTTTTAAATAATTTATTATAGCAAAATTAGATACAATATCCCAGGCTTCTCTTCGCAGGAAAAATTGGAATTTTTTATTTGAGAATTAAATATTTTGGCGAATTTTGTATATCAAAGTGAAAAGTACCAGAGAATTTAATATTTGGGGGAATTTTTTATATCATAGTGAAAAGTACAATCTGATGCTTGATGTGTCATGCAGATCAAGACACATGAAAAAGAAAAGCCATATGTATACTGGTGCCTGTATTTTTGAAACCTCCATATGTATACTGGCCCTTGCATTTCTATAATCAAAATCAGTGGTAATTATTATTTGGTCATGGAAAGAAAGAAAACAAAATGTGGAGATATTTAATTTCAACTGAGATGAAAAAAATATATGACTAGAAAATAAACTGTTTTAGCTGAAGTGCACATTAATTCGGGAAAAAAAAAAAAAAACTCTCAGTCAGTAAATTTTAATATACAATGCTGTTTAACAGATCGTTAGTTGTTTAAAGCAATGCTTTGATGGAATCGTTTTCGTGAATTAACCTTTTCCTAGTTCTGAAAAAAAATGAAATATTGGTTATAGATGCATCTAACAGTTTAAATTGCTGGTTAACTTAACACACAGGCACAAAGATATAATCATAAAGTACCATTTGATTGGAACAGAATTCTCCAGTGTTTGAGGGATGAAATGAGTAGTATGCCTATTTTGAAACTTAGAGAAGACTGGCAAGGCATTCCAAGAGGCAGTGTCACTTTTTGCTGTATTGTGTGTCCAGTCAAAGTTGAATTTTCCAGCTAGTAGATTCAGTAATGATGTGGTTAATATTATATACTTCAGTGACTTATCATACACATGTTTGAAGATGGGCCAGCCAGTGCTTGAGTTTTATTTAAACCATTCTTATCACAATGTCTGCAGTAAAAAAGAGTAAAGAAAGGGCAATAGTATGTACCAAACTTTTTATGGTATGACTTCATAATAAAGATATTCTTATCTTACTCAAGTCAATTATTTTGAGACATGAAAGTATGCTACCAGTAATCATGTTATCGCTAAAGTGCAGAAATAAGTTATTCTACAGATTATCTAAGGAATGTGCAGATTAACTAGGGTGATCTGTTAAAGTGCCCAAAATTGTTTCATTTCTTAAATTACCTACATACTGTGAAAATTACCTGGATAATATGAGCATTACCTACTAGGCACTCGCTAATCTGCACATTACCTATTAGGCACTCGTTAATCTGCACATTACCTATTAGGCAAGTAAAAAGTGAAAAGATGAAAGTAAGATCTTGGCGGAAACAAGAGCAAGATTTCTGTACCCTTAAATGAACATAATGTTATTTATTTTTCGATATCTAAAGAATCAAGTTAGTACAATCAATCATCGATCAATTAAAAAAACTATAATACAAAGAATCAAATGATTTAAAATATTATTAAAATAAGTGAAATGAATTTGCAAACTATATGATAAAATTATGCTTACTTAATAGTGCAATCTAAAGATTGGTGACACTTTCAATTACACAGCAACTGCTTTTTTTTTTTTTTTTTTTTTTGTGACAAGCACGCATATTTGTGGTACATTTAAATTTGTAGTCACATTTTCTGAAACCCTGCCCAGTCCCAAGAAATTGTTTTATTGCTGTTTGACATAAAGATATTTCTACATCAGGGACATCTTATATCATTAAAAATCTCTCTTTGCAAAAATTGAATTCATATCTTGTATACAATTATTTTAAAATACCCATTTTAATACCAAGTTTATAAAAGCCATCCTTTGTTTTACTAAAAACCGCAGCTAAAGTCGAGTGGCTTTCAGTTTTTACTCTGTTTACATCGGGTATTTTAATTCTCACAGTGACACCTTCATTGACATTTGGGTTAGAGACTGCTAGTGGTTTCTTTTCTTGCTTTTCTAAACCTTTCTTGGCTTCATTATACCTTTTTCTTTTTTTTTTTTTTTTTTTTTTTTTTTTTTTTTTTTTTTTTTGCAGATGTTGCATAATAATCCTTCCTCTTTAGGACTATTTCACCTCAAATTATGTAAACAAACATATCACATGATTTACACTTGTAAGCACCTGATGCTGCTTTGGAGTAAACAATAGACCATGTTTTGTATAATCCTCTTTACAGGTTTTGTACAAAACTGTGATGGTGATTCCTCTGAAATTGAGGGTAACTCGGTGATGACTTCTTCAACATGTAAAGGTGATTCCTTGCAGGTGCAGGGTAACTGAATATTCTTCATAACTGTATCCTCAATCAACAGTATAGCAGGCAATTTAAGATTACTATCAATAAATTTTTGTATTTCCAAAGATGATTTTGTGAAAGCAGGGGATAATGGAAATGTCCTCTTTAGTAAGATTTGATTGTGATCCCATAGTCACAGTCTGTTGTGAATCTTCTGATTTTTTCAGTCTTCTTCAGGATTTATCAAATATAATACACTTTGTGATATAATAGAAAAAGACAGTCTCACTTTTGCGGGACAACCAAGCATGGCTTCGTATGAATTCTTTTAATCACAGAATGTTGGGCATGATTCTTCATGTACTTCTTCTTCTACAAATCACATGCAATCATTCCACTTGTTAGCTTGTTTATCAGCCATCAAAATTTTCAATTGATTTATCAGTCATTTGTTTGAATCCATTAAATTTTTGCTTCTTGAAAATTGTCTTCTGTTTCCACTCTTCTAATTCATTGTATTTTTGGTGTTGATGAGAGGAAGTGTTGAATTCGATATGCGAATCCAAGAAAGTTAAAAAAATTTTAGAGCAGTAGTGTTCAGGAACAAATCGCAAATACATCTAACGTCGAAAAATTCACCTTTTCCCATTAGAATCACTTGAAACGGAGTTACGAGTCTTGTAGATCTCACCATTTCTTGAAGCTCTTCTGGAACCATGCACTTGCTCACTCTCTTCTGTTTTGCTATAACACCAAAGTCTCTATCACATGGCATGTAGGAATGGCTAGAAACAAGAAATTTAAGGTCGATTATTTCATAATAGCCTTTCAGGACAAGAAATGCAATCATTATTAGCACCATGCGATTCTTATTCTGTTCGGCACAGTTGTCACACCATATTTCTAGATGTTTTCTAGGAGTGAATCCTGATGTCAGAAACTTTGGAAAGACATGAACTTACTTCATTTCCTCCATGTCCAGTAATCATCTCATGGCACATACACTTGTAACTTGTTGAACTGCTTCCTACACATATGCAAAGGTTGTAATTTGATAACTGTCTTGAATAAAACATGTTACTCTGGGTGAGGGTCGGCATAAACAACACTTGTTGCATGTCAATAGCAACTGCGCGAGAAGGATACGGACTGTTAAGAAACGAAACAGAGAGCAAATGCAATGCTCTGTCAGCTTTTCGTTGATGAAGTTCCCTCTTACCTATTAGCAGCAGTTTTGCAACTCCAGGAGCTATTTTTATTTGTGCAGTGAATTTGTCACATATACGGCAAGTATCGGTTCATGGCCTCTTGAAACTAAGCTTCAGAAAGTCCTTGAAAACTCTTTGGTAATATCTTTAATCTATTTGAACTGCAGGGTATTTTTTTTAAATGCTACGTGCATTCGTGTATATTCAAATCTGGGCTTAAATATTCCTTTGAAGATTTGTTGTGGCTATAATGGCTTTTCTCATGAGGAAATGAAAGGATGTGTTCCTTTATCAAGCCCCTGTCATCAGTTGTATATTTCAGGTGACAAGATTGTACATTTTTCCCCGTAACCATCCCTGAATACGATATCTCCTTTTTTTAGGTGATTTAAAATGCCTTTATTTCTCTTTTTAGAAATATCAAATATTAATCTAAAAGTATTATTAAAACTAAACTCAGTGGCTCAAACAGCCCCAATGGGCCAAGGCCTGTAGTGCCCCAAAATCTGCTTTCTTGACCGTGGGCACCAGGGTGCGTAACAGCTTGTCGCAGGCCCCCAGTGTTTAGTCCCCAAGCGAACTTGGTACTTATTTTATTGACCCAAAGGATGAAAGGCTAAGTTGACCTTGCCCAGCCTGGGTTTCGAACCCCGGACAAAAGTATTATTAAAAACCTGAATAGAGCCATTGGCTGATGGGACTGTATATGTCACCAACGTTTGCCATCTGCTGTTACTTGCAATGTAAGTTCTGTGCCATCTTCTCCCGATTGCTGTCAAATGCACTCAGCTCATCAAATAAGTATTTTGAGCTTTGTGGGTAAGCGAGTGGAACTTGGTGTGCAGTTTTGAGGATGTCACTGGACGACAATCTCTTGCACAAATATTTACACTTACAGGTTGCCTGAAACAAGACGAAATAAGTAAAAAAGTGGTTTTATTCAGTACAAAGTCAAGGTTAGCCATCTTCAATATTATTTCTACAACAATAAATAAACCAACACTTGCCTTTTTGAGGTAGGAAAAACTCAGTTTCCCGTTTCGGCATTTTTCAGTTAATGCAGATTGGCAGGAGATTAAAGTTATTCTGCGCGAGTTTTTCTGTTACCTCTTTTTCAATGCCAAGCATTTGGTGGATACCCCCCCAACCCCATCTTCCAGCAACGACTGAAACTAGACAGAGTTCGTTTGGCACTTGCCTCTTT